CCTGCACGTGGATTAATGCACAAGAGTGTACACGTGGGGCAAAAGGCTCTTTGAAACAGAAATATCATGAGCGATGTATAAGAAAAAGCCTAGATTTACATTTCTTGCTCGCTCCATAAATCTCATAATTCCATTTGTGTTTTTTCATTGTTTTGATGACTTCACTATTCTTATGCAATTTGGAAAACAACATCAGAAGTAACATTCACATTTGGCAAGCGTCAAATGCAAGTAAAAATGGGCTTTGTGTGTAAATAAACTACCTGCAAACATCTGTCTACTAATGAAACATCTGTTGTGACTAACAGCGTTAGTGGAACATTTACCGTCAGAAGTTGTATCTAGAATCTCTAAAGTTTTCTTGTTTTTTTTTTCTCTCAATGGAGTATTTCTGACATCAAGGCACCAAAACAAAAATCTGAGGAAGAAATCACGATGTATTTTCAGGCTTTTATGACAGATGCAGAAACAGACTCACTAGCATATGTTTTGTTCTTGAAAGAAGTTCCTTCTGTGTATCAAGGCTGCATTTATTTGATCAAAAACACTGTAAAATATTGCGAAATATTATTACAATTTAAGAGAAAACAGTTTTTTATTGTAATATTGTAACTGCAATTAGGGATGTAACGATTACCGGTTTGACGATAAATCATGATCAAATTCCCCTACCGTTTCATCTTTTAATTATCATTAAAACCATATTAGATTACCGCGATTTGAACAACTCGCAATAAATAAATACTGTCCAGCATAAAGTACAGTTTTAAGTAACGGAGAGCATGCAGAGTAGTTTCGTTTTGAGTGAAAACAGGGCGGAAAAGCTGGGAGGTTTTAAAAGAGTGCTAAGGGAATTATACAAATGAATATATGAATGAATTAATTATATGAATGTACCTCTGAAGGTTCTGACCGTCTTCAGAAACGATTCGATGGCATTGTTTTCATCTTCGCTCCATGTAATACCTAAAGGAAGTGTTTTAATCGCAATACTGCTTTGTCCACGAAGGTTACAGGAAACAGCTCTAATTCTGCTTTTCCATAAGCGCCACCTGCTGTCAGAGAGTGGATTTACAGAGACTTATATTTACATTCAGCCTGTGTGCAGTTTCTGTCTGGCCAAAAACGGACTGAATTAGCATGCCCTGCTGTACATTTTGACATTTGAACATTTACATTCGATATTTCAGCATGCTATTAAACTGTTGCCAGTCGTCATTTAAAATCCGAATTTTATTGTTTTAGTGATTATGCAAACAAAAAGCCATTTTATTTTGTTGTTTGTTGATTTTTAAATATAAAACTTGGTGAAGTGATTTATGTGTCGGTACTTTTTGAACATCTCCAGCACATTTTAACCATACCGTGATAATACTGATAACCGTGATAATTTTGGTCACTATAATCGTGATACCGTTACATCCCTAACTGCAGTTGCTGTGATGCGCAGCTGAATTTTCAGCATCATTACTCCAGTCTTCAGCGTCACATGATCCTTCAGAAATCATTCTGATATGCTGATTTATTATTATTAGTGTGAACAATAATAAAGCATTTTGTGTAAACCATGAATTTGAACAACATTTAAAACCAACAAAGAACAACATTTACTTGAAATAGAAATGTTTAGTAATATTTTAAATCTCACTTTTGATCAATTTAATGCATCCTTGCTAAATATTAATAAAAATCAAATGTACTGACCCTAAGCTTTTGAAGGGTAGTGTAGATGGTAGTCGTAGTCCTAGATGGCTCAGACTAAAGTTTTATTGTCTGCCAAGTGAAAATGTTGAATCGTACTAAGAAAAATAACAGCATGCTTTCTTTCCCTCAACAAGTAATAGGAGTGCTTGCAATGCAAACACAAATGATTTCCTTCTAATCAATTTAATAAAATGTCTAAAATAAATTTATGAATATAGTTAAATACGCCCTGGTCCCATTCTGTAACTTTATCTAAGATCTATTTTGTGTAAAGGAGAGCATGACAGTAGAAATCAACAGTGATTTAGTGTGCTTGCAGACTGTCACGCGACAGTGCAGCTAATTGACCTGATTAATCCTCAGAGAGGACCAGTAACCGTAATCTAGAGCTTGCCATGTCTTGCTCTGGCTGCCCTGAGCTCCGGCTCTCTCCATGTGTCCCTGCAGCTGTCAATCACACTGTTGCCGTGGTGTTCATATAGTCCGTCTCATTAACACGACTCAAGAGCGCCTCCAACAGGCCAAACTCACACTCGCTGATCAGAGGCGGAACAATACTGTGTGTACATCAGCCAGCCGTTCCTCTTTAACGGGGTGATCAGGAAGTTCAGTTCATAAAATAGAGAATAAAAATACTTCACTATGTAAACATATCTTAAAATTGATAGATTTGAATTTACAACACTCTTTAAAAGCTAGGGGCTAGTAGTAGTATACATTTATTTAATGCCATGTCAGCATCTCAGGCTATTTTCATGGCAAAAACCATTATAATAGGAGCTAGTAAGATATTTGAAAGAAATTAATACCTTTATTCAGTAAGGACGCATTAAATTGATCAAAAGTGACAGCAAAGAGTTTTATAATATTACTACAGATTTCTATTTCAAATAAATGCTGTTCTTTTGAACTTTCCACTCATCAAAGAATCCTGAAAAATAAAATGATCACTGTTTCCAAAAAAAATATTAAGCAGCACAACAGTTTTCAACATTGATATTGATCAGAAATGTTTTTTAAGGATCGTGTGACACTGAAGACTGGAGTAATGATGCTGAAAATTCAGCTTTGATCACAGCAACAAATTACAAAATATTCACACAGAAAACAGCTATTTTAAATGATAATAATATTTCACAATACTGTTACACTGTATTTTTGACTGATTAAATGGCACAGACGAGAGGTCAAAACTAAAGACTGACCCCAAACTTTTGAACAGTATGTGTATATCAGTGCTGTGAAATAAAGTATAGAAATAATTCCATTTAATTTATGCCACAAAGTTTGCGACTTCCACTTGTTATTGGCACAGTCACGTTGATTTGAAATAAATATGAATGTCATACTCAGCGCCTCTTTATGTCATAAACATATATATTTCATATCACAGTTATTTGCTGCAAATTAGAAATGATAAGAATTATTCATAGAGTTCACTGCTGTGTGTCAGTGACTCAATAAAGTCTGCATCTGTCACTTAGCTCCCATGATGCCTCGTTTATCAGGACATGATTAGTGATTGTCACTGCTCGGTACATCAGGACTGGATGCTTTAGCCATATTCATATTAAGTATTACACTGCATGTAATATCATTTTTACTTTCATTCAGACCTTAATAAAATTTTATTCATTTTAGTTAGTAAGAAGATACTTATGAAAAGAGGTTTTATTTATACATTGGTGATTTGAATTTATTTACAATAACTAAAAACCAAATCCATTTATATTTATATTTTCTTTGCGATAAGAAAAATTACATTTCTGTTTTTTGTTTGTTTTTGTTTTGTTTTTTAGTGCTGTCAAACGATTAATCGTGATTTATCACATCCAGAATAAAAGTTTTTGTTTACGTAATATATGTGTGTGTACTGTGTATATTTATTATGTATATATAAATACGCACATATGCATGAATATATTTAAGAAAAATATGATAAGTTTATATATTAAATATATTAATTTAGTGCTGTCAAACGATTAATCGCGATTAATCGCATCCAAAATAAAGGTTTTTATGTACATTATATATGTGTGTACTGTGTATATTTATTATGTATATATAAACACACACATGCATGAATATATTTAAGAAAAATATGATAAGTTTATATATTAAATATATGAATTTAGTGCTGTCAAACGATTAATCGCGATTAATCACATCCAAAATAAAGGTTTTTGTTTACATAATATATGAGTGTGTACTGTGTATATTTATTATGTGTATATAAATACACACACTTGCATGTATATATTTAAGAAAAATATGTTATATTTGTATATTAAATGTATTTATAATATGAATTATATAAATATATACATGTAAATATTTTCAAAATATATACTGTATGTGTGTGTATTTATATACACATAATAAATATACACAAGAAAATATATGCTGTATGTGTATGTATTTACATATACATAATAAATATACACAACACACACACACATATATTATGTAAACAAAATCTTTTATTTTGGATGCGATTAATCACGATTAATCATTTGACAGCACTACGGGCTCCTGATGCTATTATGAAAGATGTTTGTGGGATATGTGGAGTTGCTGCTCATGTAGAGCGTTCCAAATCATTCATCTTAGAAGACCGCTGCCTGTAAACTGGGAAGCAGCTCACTACGATTATTTGCGATTAATCATTTGTCAGCACTAGTTTTTTTCTATAAAAAGTCTTCTAACCAGACGTGACATGATACATCAACAAATGAAGAGTTCATTTGCAAAAACAGATTTAAATTTTTTTTTTTTCAGATTTCACAATTTTCAAAAATCATGTTTTTTCATTGTGCGTTCCAATTAATCTCAATCAAACTGCAGTTGGGTCATTTTGATGCAACAGAACATTTTGTTGGTGGGTTCGGTTTCTATTCCTGTCCACAGTCAAATCTCACTGGTCCAACATCCTGCGTCCATATAACTGCATATTAAATATTAAATATATTCCAGCTGGCCGTAATCGTGTTGCTTAGCACAGCATTTATATTCAAACCTGCCCTATGTTTAAACCAAGAACCACAGTGGCGTTTGGTGTAAAATATCTTGCGGAATACACATGCACAACTATATCTGAGGAGAATATTCCCAGTGAATAATACTTAAAACTGCAGACTGTTTCTTGTGGAATACAGCACACAAGTCATATGGACGACAAATTATGTGTAGTACATCAGGCCTGGACAGGACACAGCGTAATTGTTGGCATCAGGGTTTAAGGTGCTACATGACAACAAATCAAGCAAAGCTGTCAGACGCGAGCTAGCTGGTCTTACCGATGAGCTCTGTGGGTGTCTTCTCTATGAAGTGCTCGCACAGCCTGATGAACATCTCTGTCGTCTCTACTGCGGGACATTCGGCGTGACTGAACGAGACACAAACACATCCACATGAAGCTGACAGACCAGCTAGCATGTCACACGAGTGGCACACAGGATAATATTTCAAATGCAAGAAAAGCAACACAGCATTCGGTTTCTGTAAGTCACATACCCTTTGCAGGCAAGTTTCACGTATTTGATTCCTTCTTTTTCTATCTCCGCTCGGTCATAGAAGCGGCTGGTGTTCGTCAGGTCCACCAGCAAACCCATCTTCACCTGCGGACAGGTCAGCATTTGTTCCAAAGTTTCTTTCTTTTGTTGAACACTACAGACGATATTTTCAAGAATGATGGTAACCAAACAGTTGACGGTAGCCATTGACTTGACTATATAAGTCAGTGGCTGCCACCTACTGTTTGATTACCAACATTCTTCAAGATAGCTTCTTTTGTGCTCAACAGAAGAAGTTTGGAACAACTTATGGATGAGTGAATGATGAGAGAATTTTTCATTTTGGGTGAACTATCCCTTTAAGAGGATGTCCATATACCTTTAAGCTTTTGAGATAGTTGGACAGCATGCTGGGATGAAACCGGTTCTCCTCCGGGACTTTATCATCATAGCGTGGTCCAAGCATGGTTTTCATGGGCAGAAATTTGCCTGCAGAGAGAAATCATCATGACATGTCCTTTAACTTAATAAACACTCACAATGATGATTTGGTACTGTAAACCTTTACAAAGACTACTGCTGTGGCGCCACAGTACCATGACAGTCTAAAATGGTAATACCAAGGTATTCAATTAATGATACTCATGTAGCATGTATTTTATTTTAATAGGCTATAATATTTTACTCTGATTTTAGATGCAAAAATGAGTCATTAAACATACTATATTTATAAAAATTAAAAAAAATTCAGGGAATAAACCAATCGAAATATTTGTGTATAGTGTACACACTACAAGTCATACTATGGTGTAGTCCGGTCTCATGAATATTAATTAGGTCACAGTCTTCTCATTAATATTCCTAACCTACGCCTTCATCATAGTGCGATTCGTTAATCCCGTTCTGACGTCTGCCTCTCAGCAAATCAGGAGACCGAACGTAAAACGAGGCGATTAATATTCATGAATCAAGCCCGCGCCAATCCCGCCTCTCTTACCCAGTGACGTGCTTGTGTTGACCTGCGTGTAGTGAAGCTAATCTGGCTAGCACTCAACTTAAAACCATACAAAACAAGTTTAGAGAGGCCCTTGTATCTACTTTGACGTCGTACATGTTCCTAATTAAAAATACACGTAGTTCAAGTTATCATTGGTTTATTTTGGCATATGACGCAGTGCAATGTTAGCGCTATGAACAAGCACAGGCTAATGGCAGCTAGTTAACTCTCTGTTAGACTGAAAGCATTGAGTTTTAATCAGGTTTACTGAAGCTGCACTCACACAGCTCAGCGCTCGAGTACATTCATGCTCTCTAATATTCGCCTAACTCTAAGAACCCAAATTATTGTTTCATAAAGAGCGAGTGTGGGTTAGTAGAGCAGCTTTGTTGACAACTGTCTGATAGACGCTCACCAGCCACAGGTTGTCCTCTTCTGGGACAGTTCTTCCATCGCGGAGGAGCTCCGGTTTGAGACATGCTCCCGCTGATAGAGACAGAGACAGAGCTCAAGCCTCTTCGGTGATCCGCTGCTTGCCTGGGCCCTTCGGTTCACACAAACCCCAGCACTGTTAGCGGCTCACAGCTTTATCAAGAGCTTCGCGCTGTACAGAGGCTCTTCCTCGGGTCAGCAGTCATGAGATGAGCTCCATGAGGCGTCCGCTTCTCAAAGCCTGCTCAGAAGTAAATAGTAGTTCTCCACGTTGTTCCGCAGTTCTGTGCTTTTACCCCGACAGCAGTGACTGCAGGCGGCCAGCAGGGGCGCTAAACACCCAGATAGACAGATAGATAGCTAGATAGACGGATAGACGGATAGATAGAAGGATAGATGGATGGATGGATGGATGGATGGATGGACAGACAGACGACGATAGATAGACAGATAGATAGATAGATAGATAGATAGACGGATAGATAGACGGACAGACAGACAGACAGACGACGATAGATAGCTAGATAGACGGATAGATGGATAGACAGACAGACAAATAGACAGACGGATGGACGGATGGATGGACGGACGGACGGACGGACGGACGGACGGACGGACGGACGGACGGACGGACGGACGGACGGACGGACGGACGGACGGACGGACGGACGGACGGACGGACGGACGGACGGACGGACGGACGGACGGACGGACGGACGGACGGACGGACGGACGGACGGACGGACGGACGGACGGACGGACGGACGGACGGACGGACGGACGGACGGACGGACGGACGGACGGACGGACGGACGGACGGACGGACGGACGGACGGACGGACGGACGGACGGACGGACGGACGGACGGACGGACGGACGGACGGACGGACGGACGGACGGACGGACGGACGGACGGACGGACGGACGGACGGACGGACGGACGGACGGACGGACGGACGGACGGACGGACGGACGGACGGACGGACGGACGGACGGACGGACGGACGGACGGACGGACGGACGGACGGACGGACGGACGGACGGACGGACGGACGGACGGACGGACGGACGGACGGACGGACGGACGGACGGACGGACGGACGGACGGACGGACGGACGGACGGACGGACGGACGGACGGACGGACGGACGGACGGACGGACGGACGGACGGACGGACGGACGGACGGACGGACGGACGGACGGACGGACGGACGGACGGACGGACGGACGGACGGACGGACGGACGGACGGACGGACGGACGGACGGACGGACGGACGGACGGACGGACGGACGGACGGACGGACGGACGGACGGACGGACGGACGGACGGACGGACGGACGGACGGACGGACGGACGGACGGACGGACGGACGGACGGACGGACGGACGGACGGACGGACGGACGGACGGACGGACGGACGGACGGACGGACGGACGGACGGACGGACGGACGGACGGACGGACGGACGGACGGACGGACGGACGGACGGACGGACGGACGGACGGACGGACGGACGGACGGACGGACGGACGGACGGACGGACGGACGGACGGACGGACGGACGGACGGACGGACGGACGGACGGACGGACGGACGGACGGACGGACGGACGGACGGACGGACGGACGGACGGACGGACGGACGGACGGACGGACGGACGGACGGACGGACGGACGGACGGACGGACGGACGGACGGACGGACGGACGGACGGACGGACGGACGGACGGACGGACGGACGGACGGACGGACGGACGGACGGACGGACGGACGGACGGACGGACGGACGGACGGACGGACGGACGGACGGACGGACGGACGGACGGACAGACAGACAGACAGACAGATAGATAGATGGATAGACAGACAGACAAATAGACAGACGGATGGACGGATGGATGGACGGACGGACGGACGGACGGACAGAGAGATAGATAGATAGTTACATAGATAGACAGACAGACAGACACGACGATAGATAGATAGATAGATAGATAGATAGATAGATAGATAGATAGACGGATAGATAGACGGACAGACAGACAGATAGATAGATAGATAGATAGATAGATAGATAGACAGACAGATAGACAGACTGTCAGTGCTGGTGAGTAACTAGTTACATTAACAGAATTGCATAATTTAAGTGCAAAATAAATGTAATCTATGTAATCTATTGAGAAAAAATGTGTAATTAAATTACAGTTACTATGAAAATGTTAGCGCACCATATTTTACATATTTTATTTGTGTGTGTGTATTTCTTGTGTTTACTTCTTTTGTGTATTATTGTATATGATAATAATATTGTAATATTACCTAATATTGTATTATGTAAATAATATTTTATTTTATAGATAGATAGACAGACAGACAGACAGACAGACAGACAGAGAGATAGATAGATAGATAGATAGACAGACAGACAGACAGACAGACAGA